AGATATCCCAGCTGAACATCCCCTCCTAACCTGCGGCTTGGGCAAGATTCACTCTGGTGTCTAGCAAAAGGCGCCAATCAGGAACTGTTTGCACAGAGCAAACCAGGTTGGTCCGTTGCATCAGAACCAGGAAGAAGGTGAACAGGTTTACCATGGCAACCTGTTACCCACTCTGGCATAAATAACAGCTTGGAAATGCTACTTTCCAAGCCTTCCCGTTTGACTTTTAGCTGGGAACAGCAAAACTGTTTCTGTCTCCAGTACCCAGGCGGCTTGGCCGAGCCCTGCTGGAACCTGAACTGCACGTGCCGAAGTGATTTTTCTGCATTTGAAAAAAGTGCCCTCCAGCAAGCAAGCGCCCTGCCTAACCTGCCTCTTCTTGTAAGATCAGTGCCAGCGGGTTCTTCCACTGGCCATTTCCAGCATCCAACAGACAGGGAACAAAGAACATTCAGTTTTAATAGGCATTTTAAAAGGTTGCTCATTACACCTTCCTCAAACCCAATACACCCTCTTCCCTGCCCCAAGGAAAACGGATTCAGCTCCATGCCTCGGCCACAGCAAGGGGTGTGTGTGAAGAGATCAACAATGCCTTTTTATGTTGTTTAGCCAATTGCCAGGCAAAAGATGCATTTATGGGGGCCTATAACTGTATGTTCATAAAGCAAGCAGGGTGATGGTCAACTCCCGAGCTATGGATCAAGGGAATTTATGGGCCCTTTGAGGGATGCGTTGCGTTTCTGGCCTGATTCACACCATCTCAGAAACCTGACTTGGCTACAACTAATTCTTGCACCTTTAATGATAGGTCGCTGGAGGGGCAAACTGCTCCTGGTGTCTGCAGCAGGCACCAAAATGTCCCACCAGTAGCAGCAAGCGCCTCCGGCAGCCCATTTACACACAAACCTCTAGTGTTAGACTCATCCTGTAATGATCACCCCTACGTGACTCAGTCCTGCAATTTTCTGCACGCCAAGGTTGCACACACAGAACACCCATTAGGAATGGAAAGCTGTCCCAAGAAGAAGAGGAAGTGAGCTGCAGCAGCAGCAACAACAGGACAGGAACAGGAAGAAGAAAAGGAAGAGGAGTTGTTTTCAAGCAACAGCCTGAGATGCTCCACACACACACTCTTAACAGATAGTCTCCCGTCTGCAAATTAACTGGGAGCACCAAATCTACAGGGAAGTGTTCTTATACAAGCCCTGTTGAAACAAACGCTACCGTAATGAAAGGCAATCCCTTTCGATTGTGCACCCTGCCCCTGTTTCTGTCTCCCGTTCTCTCTTAGCGATGCTGCAAATCTCTTTTCTTGATGGGGCCCTAGATATCCCAGCTGAACATCCCCTCCTAACCTGCGGCTTGGGCAAGATTCACTCTGGTGTCTAGCAAAAGGCGCCAATCAGGAACTGTTTGCACAGAGCAAACCAGGTTGGTCCGTTGCATCAGAACCAGGAAGAAGGTGAACAGGTTTACCATGGCAACCTGTTACCCACTCTGGCATAAATAACAGCTTGGAAATGCTACTTTCCAAGCCTTCCCGTTTGACTTTTAGCTGGGAACAGCAAAACTGTTTCTGTCTCCAGTACCCAGGCGGCTTGGCCAAGCCCTGCTGGAACCTGAACTGCACGTGCCGAAGTGATTTTTCTGCATTTGAAAAAAGTGCCCTCCAGCAAGCAAGCAAAGCAAGCGCCCTGCCTAACCTGCTATTTCTTGTAAGATCAGTGCCAGTGGGTTCTTCCACTGGCCATTTCCAGCATCCAACAGACAGGGAACAAAGAACATTCAGTTTTAATAGGCATTTTAAAAGGTTGCTCATTACACCTTCCTCAAACCCAATACACCCTCTTCCCTGCCCCAAGGAAAATGGATTCAGCTCCATGCCTCGGCCGCAGCAAGGGGTGTGTGAAGAGATCAACTATGCCTTTTTATGTTGTTTAGCCAATCGCCAGGCAAAAGATGCATTTATGGGGGCCTTTAACTGTATGTTCATAAGCAGGGTGCCAATCGCCAGGCAAAAGATGCATTTATGGGGGCCTTTAACTGTATGTTCATAAAGGAAGCAGGGTGATGGTCAACTCCCGAGCTGTGGATCAAGGGAATTTATGGGCCCTTTGCGGGATGTGATGGTGATGTTATGCACAAACTCAAGGCACAATTATGACAGTGTCAGCTGGCTGTGTGATGCACAATTAAGTCCCAGGTCATGGGAAAAGCTTCCTCTGGAAAGATCGTTCCTCTGAGACAAGAGATGGCAAGCTTGTTATCTTTCAAGCCACTTTTGGAATATTAACGGCAACAGACGGGAACACTTAAGGGACTCTTAACCTCTTTGTGTGAAGCTTCCCTTTAAAGATCAAAAAGGCTGGTGGCTTTAAGGCAGAACACAGCCCTGGCCTGCTTTAGGGTCTCCCTTTCAAACCACCATGTCTCAAGTTAAAGGAACCTCAGGCGGCAACAGTGGCGGGGGGGGGGAAATGACTGGGGGGGAAAGCTGCTGAAAGAAAGGCCATGGTCGACTAAACTGTCCAGTGGTCTCGTTGAGAATGCCGCAGTTCCAGACAATTGATGGGGAAAAGTGCAGATAAGCTGTGAAGTGCACCCTTTGCACTGAGGAAGAATTGTGGCACCACGCTCCATCCCAGCAGCTCTTCTCTAGGCACAATTCAAAGGGCTGGTTCTAACCTGTAACGCCCTAAATGGCTTAGGGTCCGAGGTATCTCAAGGACCGCCTCTCCCTTGACGAGCCTTCCTGGGTTTTCAGAACATGAAGGGAGCCCTTCCTCTCAGTCCCAGCACCTTCACAGGTGCATCTGGTGGGAAAGGGCCTTCTCTGTGGCTGCTCCTTTAGGCTCTGGAACTCCCTGCCACCAGAGGCCTGACTGGCCCTCATCTTCGCTGTTCTTCTGAAAGCAGCCGAAGACCTTTCTCTTCAGGCCGGCTTTCCCTCAGTGACCAGCTGTCTGGATGTATGTGTCTTAGAACAGGACTGTCAGGTTTCTATTTTTAAAAAATGTATTTTCAGTACTGTTGTTTATCTACTAAATTTTATATTTGTTTAATTGTTTTTAAATGTCGTGATTTTTAAATTGTTCTTAGCTTTTAATGTTGCTTAATTTTTTTAAGGCTCCAAGTTACCTTGGATCCTTTTTAGGGGAAAAAAAAGCAAGGTACAAATATTTTAAATAAATAAAATACATAATTTAAGGCAAGAGAGCCAGGAAACCCCTTGGCTTGGGATAAGAAAACACTGTGGCCGCTCAGAGTAGGCAGAACGGAATTAAACAGACTGCAGGGATACCCATCAGAGAGAAGCTTCATATTCCAGTTGAGGAGCCAGACATTCCTTCTGCCCCACAGGAAGCAAACGGCAACCCTCGGGGCCAGCCTCCTCCGCTCTATTCTTCCTGGACACCAAAGCCCTTGATTCTGTTCACTCAACGGCTGGGGTGACATAAGATTATTCTAAAAGAGACAAGTGAGCCCTGTCACAACCACCAGGCATCACTCAATTTGCTTTCTGCCCTTTGGGAGTCAGAACACCGTTTGAAAGTCTTCCTGAGAAAATCAAGAGCAATTGTTCTGCCGCTGGAAAATGGAAACCGGTGATGTCTTCTCAAAGGCGTTCACGGCCAGGATCTGATGTTTGTTGTGGGTTTTTCGGGCTCTTTGGCTGTGTTCCGAAGTTTTTTCTTCCTAACGTTTCGCCAGTCACTGTATCCGGCATCTTCAGAGGACAGGAGTCAGGACTCCGTCTGTGCTGTGTTGCAGTTTGTTGAATAGTTGAGTATTTATAGCTGTGGGAACAGCTTTTGTCCTTTTCAGGAGATTGGGTGATTATGGTGATCAGTGTGTTTTATGTGTGGGTGTATTGTTGTGATAAGAGGGAGAGATGATCTGTCACTGTGATTGATGGGTGCCATTAGCTGGCCTTTTGTGTGTAGCGATCACCAGTCCTTGTGGCTGGGTAGAGTTCGTTGACCTTTTGCAGGCTGTTTTTTTCACTGCTGGGAGCCAGGCTTTGTTGTGTTTTAAACTTTCTTCTGGTACAAATATTTTAAATAAATAAAATACATAATTTAAGGCAAGAGAGCCAGGAAACCCCTTGGCTTGGGATAAGAAAACACTGTGGCCGCTCAGAGTAGGCAGAACGGAATTAAACAGACTGCAGGGATACCCATCAGAGAGAAGCTTCATATTCCAGTTGAGGAGCCAGACATTCCTTCTGCCCCACAGGAAGCAAACGGTAACCCTCGGGGCCAGCCTCCTCCGCTCTATTCTTCCTGGACACTTAGTTTAATGTGTTCCTATGGCTCTTAAACTCACTGTTCTGCGAAGTTTCTCCATAGCGCCGCCATTTTCGCGCCCTCGGTAAGCGAGGGCAGGGCGCGAAAATGGTGCGGGATGCCATTTTCTGCACCCGGCGGCCATTTTGGAACCGCCGATCAGCTGTTCCCAAAATGGACACGGGGTGCAGAAATGATCGCAATGCGATGTTTAGCTTATCTAAACATCGCAATGCGATCGCATTAGCGACCCCAAAAATGGGTTGCTATGTGGATTCGTCGTTAAGTGAGGCACCACTGTGCTCATAACAAAAACATGCTGATCAACATAATCACCTAATCTCCTGAAAAGGACAAAATACTCAACTATCCAACAAACTGCAACACAGCACAGAGTTCTGATTCCTATCCTCTGAAGATGCCGACCACAGAGACTGGTGGAACGTTAGGAAGCAAAACTTAAGAACACGGCCAAACAGCCTGGAAAACCCACAACAACCATCAAAATAGTTGATATTTACATCTGACCCTGTTTCCAACAACTCTGTTCTGGCAAACTTGGGCAGTTCAACCAAGGTTATTGTTGAGGGATAAGGATGGGAGGAGATGGGGGAACAGATAGGGTCAGATGGTACCGGTGGCCAATGTGGGCAGCCCTTCATGTTCTTTATGTTGGAAATGACAGGACACAGATAAAAAAGGGAAGATGGATTGGCTGGTTGTGGGAGCAACAGAGAAGAAGCACCTACCGTTTTATACAGCTGGGCCTTCAAGCGATTTGTAGAGTAGTCCGATTTTCTCTTCTCTTCCTCTCTTCTCTTACGAACCTCAGGCAGCTGCTCATAGATGCTAATAAAACAGGCATAAAAATGGAAAGGTAATCTTGAACACACTGCTCACCACGGTATTCCTTGCCATTAGGCCTAGCATTACCAAGCTTGGAGGTGAGGATGATAACGGGTGGAGATGCCCAAGCAAAGGAGGCAGAAATGCAATTTCTTTGATGCAGAGGACCCAAAAGTGGACCTGATCAGGAGGCTCCAATAAGGGGAAAGAGTACTGAGATACGGTTCAGCAAGCAGCCTACGGACAATTCCCAAACCAGGTACTACTCTTTCAGCTTCTCCATTTGGCCATGGCTGGAACGCTCTCCATTCCAAGAAGAAAACTCTGTTGTGGTCTAATCTAGATTGCAGCTTCATGAAACAAAACCTCCAGAGTGGCCGTAAACAGAGCAGCAGGGTCATGCCACCTCCGGAGAGCCATTTCAGACCATCTACACATCCTACGTGTGGACTGCTTTAAAGAAGTTGCGAGGATCAGGGCTGAAGCTGGGCTCCAGCTAGGACGGATAAACACGCTGATCTAAGGCTGGACCTCATCTGCTGCTCCCTCTGGTGTATAGACCATGGATTCCATCTTCTCCAGGCAGGTGGCGTTCCTTATTTTATATGTATGTGTGTGTGTGTGTGTGTGTGTATATA